GGGGCGTGTTAGAACGAGCCGTTTTAGGTAGGCATGGCTGACTCTTAAGTTTTATAAAGAATATCTCTTTGGATTTGAGACTTTAGTCTTTGCAACTTTACAGATCTTCTTTATGCACCAAGAGCTTGTAACACTCCAAAGAGAAAGGAAAAATTGAAATCGCATCATATGACCCCTTTAATAATTGGACGCATAGGTTTATCTGGCACATTGATCTGGGTTCGAATCTGGCCTGTGTCTTCTGTCTGCTTAAAAAAATGGCAAAAGCCCCAAATTATTATTATTTTTTTTTAAAGTAACATTTTGTTGTTCATATGATGTTGCTAAAAATAACATTATTTGGTGTATTTGGTGTAATGAAATGTGTTTATGTGGTTTAAGGTTCAAAAAACACATTATTTTCCACATACTGTACATTATTGTTTCTCCTCTATGCTCCGCCTTTCTGAAACGCGTCGATTTTTACAAAGCTCATTGGTCTGAAAAAGTGAGGTGTGCTGTGATTGGCCAGCTATCCAGTGCGTTGTGATTGGCCGAATTCCCCAAGCTGTGACGGAAATGTTACGCCCCTTTACCATACTGTGATGCCTGCGGCAACCACATGTGACGACCCTGGGCTGGACTCCGCTTCCTCCACGGTGAAAGCCGATCCGGCAATCGACAGCGCAAAGTTGAAGTATTTCCTCAGCGACCAGCACAGATCAGCTCCAGACATGACGAAGCAGATATCGTCCTCTTTTGGAAGACCAAACAAAGTAGTTTCGCTTTCACAACGAAACACACAGCGCCTTCATGACATGGCAGCGGCAGCAACAATACTACAGCGAGAATAAAAGTTACGCCTTCTTTCTTTCCGTGAACATTTGGGCGGCGTTATGCAAATCTTCCCACACAGTGACGTAGACATGTTGGGGCGTGTTAGAACAAGCCGTTTTAGGTAGGCGTGGCTGACTCTTAAGTTTTATAAAGAATATCTCTTTGGATTTGAGACTTTAGTCTTTGCAACTTTACAGATCTTCTTTATGCACCAAGAGCTTGTAACACTCCAAAGAGAAAGGAAAAATTTAAATCGCATCATATGACCCCATTAACGTAGTTTAGTGATAGCTGAAAATAATGATAGGATGATGATCTGTTCTTTTCCTGTCTTCTGAATCTTCCAAAACCTGTATATTTGAGGACAAATTCTCCATGTATCTGGTTTGTTTGTTCCTCTGCTCCTTCTTGACACATAAAGGTCACAACTGCTTTGTTCTGTGGATTAACAGTGTGACCATTAAACTAAACTGTACAGATCCAGTCTGGAAAGCCCACGTAACCGATTCAGCATGAGAACACACAGCATTCTTCCTGTAGCTTCACCTGAATCAAATAAACATATTTCATGGCATATTAACTTTTTTCCCTCATGCTCATTTAGAAATACAGATGTAAATAAGAATGAACAGGCTGGAACTGTATGCTCATGCAGACATTTTCTACTTTTCCCCAAGGTCAGACCATGGACTCATCTCCAGACGTGAGATCCCCTCTGAATGAAGTCACTCCGAAAGATCGCATGACTTCAGAAAGTGACATTTTGGAATCACGAGCCAGTACAGCCTATCAAAGCGTCTCCTCTCCTTCAACTAATTTGTCAACTGACGAGGTCAGACCTACTGTTCCTTCTCCATCACAGTCATCCAGAGACGCTGTAGTGCACAATGACACCTCTCCTTCATCAGCCATCTCACAGACCCCGGAGCTACAAGATGTCACCACCCTCAACATGGACACAGCCTCAGTACCAGGCAAGACTAATACAATTAAACCTAATCTAATTGCAAATGCTATCTGTCATTAATCAGTCTAACTAAGGTCTGAAAACAAATTTGCCATCCATTGTGTTGAGAACAACAACATGCAAAAATGAACGGTTTAAGGAGAGCTGAAAGATGCAGTACATTTTATATTGACAGTCTTGAAGATAAAATGTAAAACTGTGCATTGAAAAGAAATGTGGTGTACACTGTAAAGTTGTAAATAAAACATTGTTGCAGTACGTTTTACAAGAAAATGTTATGTTTAATTCAGTGTGTTACATGCTGATTCTTTGTAATTAATTGTGAAATTTAGTAGCAATTTCTGAGTGAAAACTGTCTGCACCAATGTTCTTCAATGTAGGATTTATTTTGAAACAGTTTTTACAAATTGCTAGTAAAATGTGTGACTAATTAGAGCCTGAGTTGGAAATTTGGGTTCGATTCTGACCTGTTTCTAAATGCTTCCATAAAACGTTTTATTTTTTGCATTTGCCATTATTAAATTGTTATATTTTGACTGCTCTGGATTGGTTCAGATCCTATTTAACTGATCGTTGTCATTTTGTTTTTATGGATGGTCACAGATCAGAGGTCGGTCCTGTTAGTACTGGTGTCCCTCAGGGCTCATTACTTGGTCCCTTGCTCTTTAGCATTTATATTTTTCCTCTTGGTCAATTGTTAAGATCTCTCGAACTCAACTATAATTTTTATGCTGACGATACGCAGATTTACATCCACTCAAATCCGGGTCAAGGTGTGAATATTTTCCATCTCTCACACTGTCTTTCTGAGATTAAGTTGTGGATGTCTGACAATTTCTTGTGTTTGAATAGTTACAAAACAGAAGTTATGCTTCTTGGCTCTCCCCATAAATTGCGTCATGCTGGATCTTTAGCTTTGTCTGTTGACAGTGTTGCTCTGGAGTTACAAAGTAAATTAAAAAATCTGGGTGTTATTTTCAATCCCAGCTTGTTGTTCTAGCCTTTCGTGCTGAACACTGTTAAGATCTCGTTCTTTCATCTTAGAAATATTGCACGGCTATGGCCTTTGCTGTTTTTCTCTGTTGCTGAAAGGTTAATTAATTCTTTTGTCTTTTCTGGTCTAGATTATTGTAACAACCTTCTTATTGGAGTCTCTAAATCTTGTATTATCAGCAGCTAGAATTCTGTCGGGCCAGGGTTGTTGATCATATAACTCCTGTTTTGGAACTGTTGCATTGGCTCCCGGTTAGATTCCGTATTGATTTTAAAGTTCTTATGTTAACATACAAGGCACTGCATGGTCTGACTCCTCAGTACTTGGCTGAGCTTTTAATTCCTTATACACCTAGCCTAGATGGTGGCATTGCTCTCATATTGTTGTAGAAGCTGAACACGATGCTTCAGATATCATGCACTGACATTTGCATTTGCGTTTGTCTTCTAGTGTGAGTGCTTTCATGTGGGTGTGCATCACTTTGTTTCACTTTAAAGATAAAACACTGGGCTTAATGTGACTGAATCCAGACTGAACTCGTGAGACTCTCTGGGAAAGTGCCACATTCCACCCACTTGATCAAATGTCTGTCCGTAAATAATGGCTGGTCGTGGGTGTAACATTTTGGAACACGACTGTGTTTGTAAATAATCCCTCTCGCATACTGTCATTTCACTGGAAACACAGCTATATTTAGGGCAGTTGAATATCTACTTATTGGTTAACTGCACATATGCCAGACCTTAAGTATGACTGTTACAAAACAACACTCACACTCTTGTTCTAATATGCTTCTTAAATCTTACTTTTCTTTCTTCGTTTGTTGTTCAAAGCTTGTCTTTCTATGCCTGTTTTTCTCCTGCAGGTTCTTCTGCTAGCAGCCCGTCAATTTCTTTTTTGAAGAGCACCGTTTCAGATTCAGTAGCCACCACAGCTCCTGCAACATCCATCAGTCCAAGTGAAGGACCTCAGACTGTCTCTTCTTCAGCCAGCAGTGTGATCCAGACAACACAAACAGCTCCACCATTCACCACCACTTGCCCTCAGGCATCTCAGATCGCCCTGACCAGCAGTTCAAAGGTCACTGGACCTGCTCCTTTGGAAGACCAGGATGAATCTTCTGAACTGGATGTGGGGGATCAAGGTGTGTGGATAGCAAATGTTTTCCTGCCATTGACGTTAAAGGGATAATTCACCCAAAAATGACCATTCTTTCATTATTTGCTCATCATCCAAAAGACTTTCTAGTTCAGCTACAGTACACAAAATAAGATATTTTTAATATTTTTCATCATTTTTGCGTCCCTCCATTTAAAGCCCTTGCAACTGAAAATGTAAAGGTTCATTTTAGAAGTAATCCATATGAATCAAGTGGTTTAATCCAAGTCTTCTGAAGAGGCAATCGATTTATGTGATGTGAGGTTAGGGATGTCCTGATAAGCTTTTCTGTGCCACCGATCAAATCCGAGTCATTGAATATTGAGTATCTGCCAAGTCTCCAAGTCTCAATCCAATACTTGTATACACACACTGTAGATGTAAACATATCACATTAGTAGACGTTGTAAACAGACTGTGTGGTAACATTTATGAATATAGGACTACTGATATAAACCTCTTGTATTTAATATGAACAATAAGCAGAATAATTGCAACATAAAGGGAAAAAATTGGAGATAAGGTTAGGAAGCATGATGCTTGTGGCGTCCGAATGCCAGTCTGTCAGTCAAGTCTGAATCAAGACGCAACCCATAGCAATGCGTTATGAAGTTTGAGCACATTTGAGCATCTTATTTTCCTTTTAATGGCAGCTGGCAAATCTACTGGAAGGTGCATAGCGCCACCTTCAGCATGACACAGACATGACAGCTGACGTAAAATAAGGATTGGGCTTAGGAGAGCCGATACCGATCAGTTAAAAAAAATGCTTCATCGGCCCCAATCCTGATCCTTGAGATCAGCTCTGGACATTTCTAGAAAAGATTTAATTTAGACTTTTATATAAATGTTGATCAACGCACATAAATCAAATATGGTAAACGGAAGCTCAACCGTACATGCCTGACAACAAGCACTTTTTATTTTTGAGTGAACGTTTAAGTATGAGAGAGAGTTGTGTCTTTGGTCTTGCTGTCGAGGTCTAGTAAGCACAATGACATGATAATTTCATTACTTTTCCATCTGCATTTACTTCTGTGCTCTGTACATGATGTTCCTTCAGTTTTATTGGTTCCTGTGATAGTGATAATCAGATTCCGCTCAATTCATCAATCTTCTAGAGTCAGGGAAGGTTCCCCACCGCCCTACATCGCCCCTGGACCCCCTGCTCGCTGCTCTGGTCACCGTTTTCATTATTTGCACTGCCATGGTCTCAGCCGTCCTCTTCCTCAGGTTCCGTCAGAGGAGTGAGCATCCAGAATTCCACCGGCTTCAAGACCTTCCTATGGTGAGTTTTGCATTTGGGCAGCAAGTTGTGATACTTAAAATTGAGACCTTTGAAAGGTTTATAGATTTCCATTAGAGGTCGAATGATTGATCCGTTTTGCCGATTAATTGGGACCGATAACTGACTGCTGGAACAATAGCGATAGTTTTTTCAGGTTGCATCCATTGCTGGAACAACTGAGAAGGTCCACTGTCATTATACAGAACGAGAGCCGCCTCCAGAAGCAGAATCAATGACGCCTCGTTGAGTTTGTTTTGTTATGCATCTGTTATCCAGCAAAGTTGCATATTTAAAGCTAGTGACGTTTGACAAATCAAAAAAAAATTATCATCACTGTAATAAATATTTTATTTTTATTAGATAAAAGTCAAGCAGAGAAACAAATAAAGTGGGAGAGTATACATACAATATGCATATGTATCTAATCTCAATGCTATGGACTTAATAGATATTTGTAGATATTTATTTGAAATGGTAACACTTTACCAGTACATTTGTAACATTAACTAAGGATAATAAATGCTGTAGAAGTATTGTTCATTGTTAGACTGTTAATTTCATTTACTAATAAATATTTTTGTTTAAGTCCTTTTTTTAAATTTTTGTAATAAAGTTCAGTGCTATTTTACTTGGAATATTATGTTTGTTCTCATTCATTATCCATTAAAAAAACGATCGTTATCGGCCAGTGTGGTCCAGCCAGTTATCGTTATTGGTAAAATCCACTATCAGTCGACTTCTAATTTACATGATAATGCTAATTGTGACGTTTTTTGCAAATGTGGTGGCAACACTGATAACGATCAAATTTGACAATTCAAGTGCTGACCTCAAAAATAAAAACCTGATGTGCTTTTCTGCAGCATGATCTTCTAGAAGACACGCCTTTGTCAAGATACACCTATTAGCAATCAGGGCTGCACGATTAATCAAAAAATAAAAACATAAATAAAAAAATCACGATCTCGATTCATACATAAATGTGATCTCATTTCTAAATGACAGCGATTCACTTGCATGTTTGTCCCTCCATTCAGATCACACTGCATTCACTTATTTACTTTACAACAATCCAAGATGCTATCAGTCAGACTTATTGGTCACAATCACACAGTGTAAAACAAAACACTTATAGATGAAAAATATCAGTTTCTACCAAAAATATTAGTTGTCAGAAGATGAAAGCGATATATTTGTCATAGTACACTTTCAATGTTTATGGGGATTTCTCGCGTCAGCGCTGTTCAATGCATTGCATCAGTGCCATAGATCTCTATGAAGTGAAATATCAGCTTCAGCGTTACTAAGGTGATGTGTTGCTAGTCGATTGACGCTTGTGAGGTGGTGTTTAATGATGATTATAAAACGGATAGTTCCGGTCCTTGATTCTGATTGGTTGTGCCACGTTCAAAGCTGTTGTAAATTACTCTACAAACATACACCTTTGTTTACTTTTTGTGTTGCTTGGCAACCACTTTATTGCAACCACAACTGTTTCTGAGGAACTACATTGTTTGGTGGAAGAATACCGTTTTTATTAATATCATTACACTTTATTTGCTGTTTTATTTTGTGAAACCTTACTACATATATGGAATAACCGTTTTATAAAAGCAATAAGCCCCATGAAGCCGTGGTTTACAGTGAATTTATAACAGCTAAGGGGGTTTATACCATAGCTTCGCTCCGCTTCGTGCCTAACAACGCCCCTTAGTTGTTATAAATTCACTGTAAATCACGGCTTCTTGGGGCTTATTGCTTTACTCATAAAGACAGTCCCTTGCCGCCACCTATTGGCGTAACAATGTTACTGCACTGATTGACAGCCTTCGCCTTGTTGGTTGCAATTATATTCAGTTTAACATCACTTTGTATGCTCTTTAATAAGCCAAAGTATCCTAATATGGATAGTGTTTTGTGTAAGCTCAGTTTTTAAAGGCCTATTAAAATGTTCATTGTAAAATGAATATTCGTTGTGCTTATTTCTCAATTAAATCAACAATATCCAATATTACTGTAAATAATACGAACATCTTTAGCATTATTTTATCTGTAAAAAAAGGTTAACAGTGACAGTCAACAGAGAGCTTGCATATCACTTGTATAAAGCTTAAATGATCAGAATCGGGATCGGTATTGGCTGATCATAATGACAAGAAAGCTAGTTGTTATTGGTTGCAAAAATCCAGATCAGAGCATCCCTACCTCAAAGGTCAGCACAAATTACAGTACGAGTTAGTCATGAATGACAAGGGATCCACACCTCAAAATACCAGCCGCCAGACCACACAAAGCACAAGTGCTATTTATTCGTTTTTTTTATTTATTATTTTCATCACATAAATATTTATTATTGTCAACATTCTATTCAACTGCTTACAGCTTTTAAGTTATTCACTTTAAGGGGTCTAAAATTATTGTTTTATTTCTTATTGTTTGTTACTTTTAAGTCCAGGACTTTATTATAACTGAAGGTCCTGTGTAGACAGCAGTTTTTACTTGAGCACAATAAATGTTTTGGTTGAAAAAATGAGAATCGTGATCTTAATTCCCATGGAGAAAAATCGTGATTCACGTTTTAGCAAAAATCGTGCAGCCCTATTAGCAAGAGTGAACTGCACCATTTCATTATTTGATTCCTCAGTTTTGTTATTGGTGCAAATCCCCTGAAAGATGGCTTTCTCAACTGATCTGATTATGGGTTTTGATGATTCTCAGGAGGCTTCGATGCTAAAATGTGGTTGTGTAATATTGGAATAAAAAAATTTAATTATTTTACTATATTATTCTATACCATTAATATAAAATATGGGTTTTATAAAATCAATCTTATTCTCTGTTTTAAAAAAAATGCAGTTTCTTAATAAAACAGGTGTTTAGTTAGAAGAGAATGTTTGAATTTCAAGAAAACAGAACTCATATACTTTTATTCATCTTAAGATTCTCTACAAACATGGAGAGAAACTATTACAAACATGAACTGTAGAAGAAACCATTCACATTTTAGAGCATTTTCTGGAGATAATTTGCTTGTTTTTTCCCCCCTTTATTGGACGCTATATTTGTTCTTAAGGAATTGCTCAATATTATGACACTATCACCCTAAATCTAAACTCTTAAGATGCGGTCACATTTACTGTCATTCAGCACATGTTCACAGGTGAAATTCAGTCATTTCGAAAGGATTTTGGAAGGCGAAAGATATTCCCCATGCAGATTTCACAGCAGGTTCAAACTTTTTTTGTCCACCAAATTTTGTTACTATATAACGTTTTATTGTAAAGGTCTAAAATTGAATCTACTGAAACAGATAGTACTGCACTTTTTTTTCTTTTCAGGGGAATTATTTTCCAAAACATTTTTTATTTTATTTATTTATTTTTTTTTTTTTAAAAACAGTTCCCTGGGTTTAGCATAATGTCTCTGGACGTTTGCACTGTTAGATCTATGACATTGTAGTAGGAAAATGTTCATTTTTATGTGACTGTTCATAGGTTAAACTGAATTGTGATTTTGATATTTATGAGAAAGTTGATTTTCCAGATCGATAATAACTTGAAATGTATTTAAGCATATTCACTTCTGTCTACGCTGGTATTTGTGGTAAACCTAGTGCCTAATGTACTTTGTGCCAAAACTAATTTGCGGTAAGCAAACTGATAAACATATATTGCACTGTTGTGTTGTTGAGATGAACCTGTAAAGATAAGAGTTTGTAATAAAAGAAGAAAACTTTTTTTTTGTACGAAGTTTCATGCTATATCACATTTACATGAGTTCAAAATGGTGAAATAAGATATAGTTATGAGCACTTTAACAATGTTTTTGAAAAAATAAACAACACAATATAAAATTTATTGATTAAAACTAGCAACAATGCAGCTTTCATATGTGCTATATTCTAAGAAATAGATCAATATTAAAGGTGGAACAGTAAAACCTAATGTACGTAAAATAGATTCATCATGTTAACACAGAGCACAATATTTCATATTATAGTAAAAACAGAAATACTGTCATAAAAATTGTGTCATTAGAATAATATAGAAAACATTGCATGAAATAATCTTAAGTTATTTTAATTATTAAAAAAAACATCTTTTCATAGAGTACAAAATACAATATAAAAATAACAATGACAAACGTGTTAATTTTGTGTTAAACTAAAGACGTTTCAGATGTTTAAAAATTAATAAACCGGAACACTGATTTAATAAGCCATGTGAATATGTATCCTCATACCCGTTTTGTCTGTAAACACTGGAAAGTCCTCATCAGTCCTCATCGATCTATGGCTGTGAAATGATGAGGTCACCATACGGCTCGTCCTGTCGCACTGTGACCTGTCCTGCGACTATTTGCTCTGTAAACACAAGACGAACAAGACAAGACAGCATCACTCCCTGGATGATTGCATTTTTCAATAAGTTAAGCACTGGGGAGAATTTGATTTCATACATTTTTGTTCAATGTGCTGTTCAATCTCACACCATTATTTGCTGCTAGCAGGTGAGGAGGCTCATGGGTAGTCAGATAGCAGCTGAAGTGGAATGGGGCGGCATATATCACCTTTACCTGACAAGTTTAATGCTTTCTCTCTTTAAGTCTTTGCATGTTTCTGTTAAAAATAAATTTGATTTCAGTAGGTTGGCTGTAAGTCAATCTTCCCACTGTGAAAAGTCCCATTGCCCATTTTTTTACAGCAAAATCCCAATTTCATAATTTAATTTCATTAATTTTGTTTTCACTAACATGAATCAGGCATAATAGGATGGTAAATCCTCTGCCACAATCTTACCTAGCAATCTCCAAAACATTTGGGCAACAATTCTACAGCTGGCATAAGGGGGCAGCAGAGAGTGAAAGGTCACCAAATCTTCAATAACAACCTGCGGCCTTCAACAGAAGAACAAAAATACTTTTAGATATTATATCTGTCTATAGTCACATGCCACTGAAATGGACAAAGCAAAAAAATATAAAATAATAATAAAATATTATAAGGGTCCTATGATTTCTGCAATGCTGAAAAAAAGATCTGATGCAAGATATTTTGAGAAAAATATCAGGAACCCATCAAAATAAAAGTATGGTTTAACTTGAAGAAATTGTGACAGAAATATATTACTATTGTACAGACATATTGAACGTATGCCTTAAAGGATTAGTTCACTTCCAGAATAAAAATGTCCTGATAATTTACTCACCCCCATGTCATCCGAGATGTTCATGTCTTTCTGTCTTCAGTCGCAAAGAAATTAAGGTTTTTGAGGAAAACGTTCCAGGATTTTTCTCCATATAATGGACTTCAATGGGGATCAACGGGTTGAAGGTCCAAATTACAGTTTCAGTGCAGCTTCAAAGGGCTCTACACGATCCCAGCAAATCTAGTCAAACCATCTGTCATTTTCTAAAAAAAATAAATAAAAATGTATATACTTTTTAACCACAAATGCTAGTCGCGCACTAGCTCGACTTCACGCATTACGTAGTCATGTTGGAAAGGTCATGCGTGATGTAGGCGGAAGCAGCGTTTACAAAGCGAACGTGCAAAGAAAGTCAAACGCCCTTTACAAAAAAAGGTAAAACAACGATGTCAGTCAATTTTGAAATTGGAGGAGAAAATGAGATGAAGCTTTTCGCCCTACCCTACCTTTCTGAACCGGAGTACACAGACGAAGAGCTGACCGCGCGCGACCTTTCCAACGGGATTACGTCGTAATACATGAAGCATGCGCAAGCAGAGCTAGAGCAAGATGAGCATTTGTGGTTAGAAAGTATATAAATGTTTATTTTTTTAGAAAATGACTGATCGTTTCGCTAGATAAGAGCCCTATTCCTTGGCTGGGATCGTGTACAAAAACCTTAATTTCTTTGCGACTGAAGACAGAAAGACATGAACATCTTGGATGACACGGGTGTGACTTTAATGTAATACTACGGGGGTGACTTTAATGTAATACTACTACTAATAATACAATTATTAAAACTTTATTTCCTAAGGAATAATTACACCATTTTTTTTCCATATTTAAATTTTAACAGTAAACCTCTGTTTTGCAAAAAAATAAAAATAATGAAAGGTTTTAATTTTCATTTGATTAACAGATAAATCTATGCCTTTATTTGATTAACAGAAAAATTGCAATACACAACAGAAAGTCTGGAAAAAAAAATGTTCATAAAAATTTTTATTTATAAATAAAATTAATGGTAACACTTTACAATAAGGTTCATTAGTTAACCTTAGTTAACTACTTTAGTTAACATGAACTAAGAATGAACAAAACGGTAATGGTATTTATTCATCTTAGTTAATGTTAATTCCAACATTTACTAATGCATTATTAAAATCAAAAGTTGTGCTTGTTAACATTAGTTAATGCACTGTGAACTAATATGAACTAACAGTGAACAACTGTATTTTCATGAACTAACATTAAGAAAGATTAATAAATACTGTAATAAATGTATTGTTCATTGTTTGTTCGTGTCAGTTAACACATTAACTAACATTAACAAATGGAACCTTATTGTAAAGTGTTACCAAATTAATGAATTAATTATGTAATTTTAATATAATTTTTGTTAAACTTTTAATAAATTGTTCTTGAATTGTATAAGTATCATGATATCAATCAATAAGATGTACCTTTTGATTTAATTTACAATTTTAGGAATTCACGAAATTAAATTCGTTAAGAAATTAAATTAAACTCTAAGGAAATTAAAATGGGGGGGGGGGGGGGG